AAAACCCCACAAAGTTAAGAAAAACTAATCTTTAAACTTCAAATTCTCAAAACTTGCTTTTATTATGTAAAACATCCACAATCACCAATTCATTTCACAGATTCAACAAAATCATCCAAAACCACATTATACATAAGCATAGCTAAACTATACATGACATATGTTCTAAATGGCTACCATAACTGCAGGATAGCCACATTTACAGTTATTGAATTCTAACAACACTATACTTCACTTACCAATTCGCTTCAAAGATTCAGTTCACAGAAAATTCACTTGCTACTAATATCTAAAACACTTTGAGACGGTCCTGAAATTCTTCTTTTASAGTACATATTTCTTGTGATAGCTCTTCTTCCCGCTGTGTTGATGCTACACTTGAAGAAGAACCTCTACGAGACTTTGGTTTTGGGCCCCAACCAGCACCCTTAACGTATCCCGAACGATAACCAAGAACTGTCTCCAATACTTCTGGGTCTTGTATCGGTTCACCTCCGTTTTCCATAGATGCTTCTCTAACACGCATCATGTCTAGCTGCATACATATTTTAAAAAGAACAAAATGTTTACACATAAAATTCAATGCGTAATTTGAAGTTAATTGTTATAAGATTCGTAAACTTACGTAAGCTGTCTCCGCTCTTTCGACCCAACCTTTAGTGTCAGAATATCTTATCTCCCTGAACAAATCGATTTCAGAAAAGTTGTCACCTCTCTCTTCTTCTTTCTACAATTGATAATACATAATTGTTAATAATCGATCTTAAGTAATATAAATATATGGGTAAAAAAATATTATTGCATTGTACCTTTTCCTTTGCAATAATAGCAAACGCCTTCGGCCCCGCAAGATGGTTGAATGACATCATCGCCCTGTTGCGTTTTTTGGTCTCAGATTTTTGCTAACTAAAGAAAACTTAAATGAGAATATATATTGAATATAAATACTAAAAAAAAAGTATAAGTTATATTCGTAAATTACCTTCCACTCATCTGTCTCCCATCTAGCGCACAGCATGTTCCAATCGTCTGGTTTTGCCAACAACCGSTACGGAGGATTGTTGCATGCAATCTCAGGTGTGAGATAACTCAGGTAGTGTAGAAAATCAAGCTGAAATTTAGGAGAAATTACTTTAAATTTATTTCCTTGTATACTATGTGATTTAGGTTTTCCTTGTAGATCTAGATTGATACCTAATTTCTAGTTTTTTGATTGAAGGTAAACTTGTATATATTTTTCATTCTATAGTCTTGAGAAAAATAAGAAAAACTTTCTCATAAAACTTCATGGTATCAGAGCTTTGAGAAATAAATCATATTTTTCAAAACCCTAGCCGTCAGGAAATAAACCCTAGTTTCACAAACCCTAGCCGTCATCATATCCATCTCCAGCGAACTATTCACGGCAACTTTGTTGCCGTCGATCTTCTCCGTCGCTGTCGACCCTCTCGTGAAGTGAACTCTCATCCCTACGGTCTTCATCGTGAGCAAACCTCCATCTGACGGCCTCCGCGACTCGCTGTCATCGCCATCTTCAATCTGCTCAGATCCGTTCGCAGTCGACC